TGAAAGAAAGGACAGAAAGGAACCCTCATTTCCCAAGCAAGATTTTGACTTGGTTTTTTTTTTGGTTGAAACTTGCTAATGGTTGAATTATCTTCTCTGGAGAGATTTTTCTTTATGTAATATCATTAAATCAAAATAACATAATTTTTAAAAAGTCTGGGTGGGGTGGGGAGGAGGGGTTCCATCGAATTCGCGTTTTCCCGAGAGGATGCAGCGTGGAGAGCGTGGATGTGCACTCGGGGGGTGTTTTTAGTGACTGTTGGACCACGGCGGCCTGCAGGAGGGGTGTGACCACAGTCAGCTCTGTGTTCACCCCGTTGTCCCAGTATAGCCCGGATCCTTCCGGAAGGCATAGAGCACCGTTACAGTTGCCTGTTTAGAAAGAGAGAAAAAGATGGGTAAAGCCGAAGGGGCGGGGAGAAGGCGACGTTACCCCCGCGCAACGCGGTTTTCAAGCTTCCACGCAAACAAGTGTGGTTTAGAGCTCCGCTCGCTTGCTCTGAGCTGTGGGCAGGCTTGCCTGGTGGGAAGTGTGTTCAGAATTCAGTACAGTTTCTTCCTTGAGGAGACAGCGTTCTGCAAACAGGGTTTTCGTCACGCTCTGTGTTCACACCTTTTGCCAAGGATCAAACCAAAGATGCGTCTCTGGTTCTGTGTCCATGTTGTCCCTGTGTGTGCGTTTTGTGGACCATGGTGTTGTCTGACCTTGTGCAGCTGGAGCCGGAACGCGGCTGCTCCGTGTGGGGTCTGGGGCCTGGCACTTGGTAGGGAGTGCTTGGTCGTGGCAAGACTGGAAGAAGGGGAATAATTAGCACAGGTCGGATGCTGGTGCGTGTAGGAGATGGGTTAAACATGGCACGGAGTCTTCAACTTTTGACTAACGCAGATGTGACCAGAAACCACCACCGTGGCCACACTGGAGTGATGTTCTCAGCTTGTTGATTGCAAAACAGGCCAAGACCCTTGAGCATTGCAAAGCCTGGCTTCGTTCCCACCGGTAGCCAGCTCTTGCCACACAGCTGCGAGGTGCTTCTTCATAATTTCCTCATTTAGCCAGCAGTGACTTCCTGACCCCGCAAGCCGCTGACTAAGCGAGGAGAGGATGGATATTTGGCTGGCCCCTGAAGCCCCTGCACTGCCCCAGTCCTGGCTGACTTTGGCAAGACCTGGAGCTGCTTCTCCCCTCTCGAGGGGGTCTCCTTGGCTTCAGGGGCACAGTAGGAGGAGGCCAGTTACGGCTGTTGGTGTTCTTCTTCTGTATGGCTTCACACCAGCTTCCAGAACTTTAAATTGAGAACAGAGCTTTGTAAGCAGAGAGAAGAAGAGAGTCACCTAGAAAAGACCCTTCTCTCTATTTGACGAGTGTTTGATTTTACATCGGTGAAGAAACCTTTAAAGATGGTGTCCAGCTGCAGCTGGCCCGCTCTGCAAGTCTACAGGAGAGGTGTTTGTCCCTGTGTGTTGGAAACTTCTTTTAGCCCTTGGTATCTTGTTCTTGTATTTTACTTTCCTTGGGAACATGAGTGTTTCTATGTCACTGTTAGCTCGGGAGAGCGTGTTGCCCAGTCCTCGTGTGCTTCAAGAACAGCTGCAGGTGGTTATACCACTGGCTGCCCACGTTGCAGCTGATGACTTGAACGTGAACTGTGAGCTCAGGTTTATTCTGAACCCAGGGAGGCCAGGGGGAGCGAGGAAGGGGGAGTAACTGGGTTTTTGTGTCGTGGGAGTCCCCGACAAATCTGTGAAATCGAGTGAAAGAAGAAATGTTAAATTCTGGATTATTTTATTATATTTATACGGAAAACTCGCCTGCCCCTTTGGTAAGTACAAAGTGTGTTGTCTGTGTGAGCTGTGACTGGTTTACCTCCGTCCGCTGTGCCTGTGAGTTCAGTTAGCCTGGAGTTACGGGTGGAAACAACTCATCTGTCATCACACGATTCACAGGAGGAGCAGTCGGTTCTCTGTACGATTCAGTCTTCGGTGAGGACTCTATTTATGTCACTGTTAAATGTACGTACTTTTATAACAACTGTGAAATATACTTTTCCCCCACTGTGATTGCATCATTTATTTACTG